CGTGGAGTTCTGTTGGATGGTCTGAGCGTAGGCCATGGACAGGGGAACTTTGGGATTGCACGTAAGATCTAGTACTACTCCATGCATAACTTAGGCAAGCTGCTTTACTTCTCTCAGACTTACTACCGGCCTGCTGCAGAGAAGGGAAAAAGCATTTAGTGTACCTCGGAGGGCTGCTGGAATGCAGAGAGGATCATTACCCAATGTGTTGGAAAAATGGAAATATTTTAAGTGAAAAGAAAGTTTTCGAGAAGGCAGAAAGAGAAGAGAGCCTGGCTTGATAGGCCAGTGCTGTTCTCCAGCGAGGGAGTTGGACAAATGTGCAATTTACCTGATGGGGGGGTTAAACCTTTTACCCACCATGACATAAGGACTGCTGCTTTAGCTGAGGTACTATATACCCTAAAGCTAATATACTCTTTAAGCTACTAGACAATGACTTTTGAAAAAAATATTGTTTTCGAAATAGAGATGTTTCATCAATCAGCAAAGTACCTTGGGAATGACTAAGAAATCAGCAGTATGGGTGCCCAGAAGGCTCACGGATGCGCTAAAGCATCTGTCCTTAACAGGACGGCTAAGGCTGTGTCCGTACCACACGCTGTGTGTTGCTGTGGCTGCCCACAGACACAACTTACATGCCAATGGTGCATCTCCAGAGGAAAGAAAACTATTTTTTAATTTTGGCAGACTGCCAGGGGAAAAACATCAACTCTTTTGCAACAGAAACAGTCACTATATGCTTAAAAACATTGCTCCTACATAGACAGGCATGTACTGGTTATTTCCTAGTAGATGCGTGTGACACAAAGTCAAAGAAGTTTTGGTATTTTTAGCACAAGAATAAACTGAAGGCAGGGGTCAGCTTTTCTCGAGGAAGTGCAGCACTGCACACAGTTTCCTTGAAGTTTCCTTACAACAGCTGAGGATTTCTACATGTTATTTGTGCTGCTAACTGACCCTATGGACATCTGGTCCTGTTTTGTTAAATTAAAGATCAATTGTAAAACACAACGGGATCATAAACTTCTCAAAAAGGCAGTTTTTAAAGCCTAAAGTCTAAAACTTCTTGTTAGGCAAAGCCTTAGTTGTAATAGCAAGCTTTTGTGATTTACCTTGTTCACACGGAGATGATGAAAATAGCGGTTACACAGATGTGTGTTACATGACAAACGACGTTTTTGCCACGGAACAGCTGAAGTTAACTTGGACTCACACAGTTAATCCAATCAAGGGAAACATAAATGAAACCTGGAGAAACATGGAAAGAAGTGAGAGAGTTGTAAGATTTCCTGTTGGTAACGTGGTGTGTTAAGTATCTGTGTAAGATTAATAACTACTTGAACAATTATACACGTGAGAGTATCTTCCTGAAGATGCTGTCTTAAGGGCAGGTATCAGAATTAATCAAAAATAGAAAAAAAACCATCAGTTAATTGCAATGAAACCACAGCTGCGATTGCTACCTGATAGGTGTGCCTGAGGTAGTTTTAAGCGAGAGTTTTGGGTACTGCTGGTCAAGCCGCCCTCGTGCCACCTGCGTAGCTCCTTCCTGGCAGCCGTGCCCCACGGAACTTCTCGCTGAGGGTCTCCACTGCAGCGGTGGAGAAGTAACAGACACGGTTCCAGTCTCCTGGAGCTCTGTACTGGAACCACTTCTGGTTTAGTTGTGTTTGTTAGGTTCACACAGAAGCGAGTTCAGCACTCAGAAGGCTAATCCTGCTCACAAAGAGGTTGAGGAGCACAGTCAGCACAGCAACACTCTATGGGACAACTCATTTCTAAGAGCAGGGCGGTCAGGCCAGCGTGGGCAGGATGAGGGATTTGCAGACATGTACTGACAGTGACTGTGGCAGCGATCCCAGGGCGAGCCCAACTTCTGCGTGGCGAACAGAACGCGGGGACGAAGTGTGCCCACTCATTCCTGGAGACTGTAGCGTTCTCCGAGTTACCTGTGTGAAGGAGATGATTGATTGTTATTGATTTTAAATGGGATTTTGATCACATCACACATGACAGGTTTTTCCTCTCAAACTTGTACTGGCTTCCTGTATAGTGAGGCGGGTGAACTCAGCCGGAGAGTTCAAGGTGGGAGAGCTAAAGATGGCTCTGTCTGTCCTGAGACTTCAGAAACAGTTACTGCCTAAGCAGGTACTTAAAATGCTTTTTGCTCTTGTTCTGCCGTGAATGCTAAAGGAGAAAAGCTTTTGAAAACCCACCACTTGAGTGTTCACAGGCACTGGCAGAAGCCACCCCTCTGCCCCGTCTTGTCCTGGGCAAAGCCTCTTCTAAGCCACTGCTGAGCCCACGCGTGTGTTCCCACCACATGGCAGTCGCCGCGCCAGGAAAGTCAGAAAACAACCAACAAGCACCTCCCAGGCTGGTGCTTCCCAGATAGAGATCCTGTCTCGTGATGTAACGCAGCCAGCAGGATGTCACGCAGCCCAGCCCTTTACGGGAAAAAGCCTTTTTAAAAGAAAAAAAAAAAAAAAAAAGCCTGAGATCTAGTGCTACTTAACTCCTGAGTACTTCTTTTTTTAATTATTGTTTGATTTTGTTTGTTTTAATAGAGACATGGTACTGGCCCTTGAAAAGGGGACAGCAGCTGGTTACCATTGTTAACACATTAGTATTTCTTAGTGTGACTTACGTTGCTTTATCATTGCCTGTAACATCTTTTAAGCATGCGAGTGTTTGTGCGTACGTATCCTCCTTGGATCAGTTGAAGTGAGCTAAATTAGTTGGGTTTTTTGGTTTTAATGGAACATTCTGACATTGTACATAGTTTTAGGGTTTTTTTCCAGTAGCCCTTCTTTTTGCTGTGTATACAGAAGTCTCATGTAGAGAACTTTCTAAAATAAAGTGTGAATATTTTTATTACTCCTTTGTACAGTATTCTAAGAGAAAACTAATAAAGTAAGTATTCCTGTAAAAACTTGTGTTTGATTCCTGGAATTTTGACACGGCCAGGTTTTGCTTTTAAACAAACATGGTAACTGAATGCTGTATGGCAATTCCAAGCCCACCAAGAGATGGACTGCAGTGAAGCTGCATGGATCCCTTCGCAGGGTACTGAAAAACCCTCTGCTAACAGCGAGCAGTGACACCGGGAAACGCATGTGCATCACTGGCCAGTAAAAGTGCCTCTGGAAAGAGCATCACCTCCTTGTCCACACTCACCTAATTAGCTCTCTCACCAGTTTGGCGAAACCCTCCTAAACCACAACAGCCTGTGCCTCCTCCTAACAGACTGGAAGCACAAATGAAAACCAGAACACAAGAAATCAAAGCTTGCAGGAATACGGATCTGTAGAACAAGTCAAAGCTTCTCTACAGCCGCTGTGACAGATCACAACAAGTTAATGGGTCAATGACAGACTTTTACGAGAAGAATTAGGCAATTAACAGGTTTTTCGTGTCCTAATGTAGAAGATGCTTCCGGATCTCTGAACAGAAAGGCGGGGAGAGCTGCGCAGTGGCCATATCACTCCAGAGGCGCAGCGGGCTGTGCTGCACGATTACAGAAGTCGTATTAGTTCGGAAGCGCAGTGGGCTGTCCTGCACGATTACAGGGGCCATATAAGTTCAGAGGATTTACAGAGGCCATACTGCGCCAGAGGCACAGCGGGCTGCGCTGCACGTTCCCCGCTGCCGGTGAATGAGAAGCCACTTGCTCCACAAACAGGCAAGTACATTTTTAGGAGCTTTTGGGACAGAAGAGGGAATGAAGCAGACTGTCTGTCAAGTGTTCTTGTTGAGTTTTGAACTGTTTTTGAAGTCTCCCAAGGGAACGAGTCCTGAAGGTACTTCTAAAACGATCCCACATTGTGCACAGAAAACTATTTCCCCTCCCCGGCTCCACGGCATCCAACACACTGTCCTCTGTGACGTGACAGCCGTTCTGCTCTCTGGGACAATCGGATGAACTCGGTCTCTTTTGGCAGGCTCCTGGGGGACATTAGGGAGAAGGAAAACAATCCGGACCGTAACCGTGGATCAGCATCTCTTCTCTAACAAGCCTTGAAGAAGCACGGTGCAGAAGAGGGGGGCAAGACCTGCACGCTTTTCTTCTCAGTGAGTATGAGAAGTTTTTGTATTTGTAGATCTGAGTTGTTCGTCACATTTTACATGTGCCAACTGGAGCACGAAGCTCTGGAATTCAAACCAGCTGCAAGAGGAAACGCACAGTGCCCTGCTTCTGCCTCTCCAACACGCAGCTGCCCTCTGCGGGGACGCAGGCAGAGCACCGGGGCACACCCAAGGAGCTGTGCTGGGACGATTTTGTGTTCTGGGGGAGATGTGCCATACAACAAGCTCTCCTGCTCCCTCCCTACAGCTAGTATTCCCCTCTCAGCACTTATACTTCCTGGCATTTTTCTAACACTCTGTTTCGAAACAGCACTAACCCTTTCCTGTCTGCCAGGCACCAGCACGCAAGGGGAAAACGCTGAAGCAGTAAAAAACAGCAAGAAATTGCTCAAGCTTTTTTTCTTTTTAAACTTCTGTCAGGGCAACATATTAAAGATTAGAGCATTTAGGACCATGGTAGGTCCTTGGTTAAGGGAGCAATGAATAGTTTAGTAATGATAATTATTATGTTATGTACTGGTATATGCAACAAAATCTCTTAACTGAAAGCGGAGTAACGGGCTCCGGTGCTGAAGACCAGTGCCCTCAGGAACAGCCAGCTGTGCTCCCAGTCTGCACGATGGCTGGGAGTGCACCAGCAAAAGGATTGTGAGCAAGCCTCCCGAGCAAGCCACAGCTCGCACTCCAGCCCCTCCAAACGCGTCCCTGTGAAAGCTCTGTGCTTGTGCTAACGTCAGCTTTTTTGGGTCATGATGAGTGATTTTCAAAAGTTCTCAATAATTAAAGGAACAGATACTTGGTTACAGCCTTCTGCTCATATTTCAAGTCATTTTGCTTAACCTGTCTTGCCTCTTTTCCTAAGGCACAAGTACACTTTGCCTTGGCTCAGAAATTCCTCCAGCTGCAGCAGAATGTTTAAAACGGTCACCCAATCGGCAGCAAATCGAATGGATTGTAACGGAGGCCTGATCCCAGTTCACAGCCTCATGGACCATGAGCATTTCAGACCTCTCTGTATACTGAAAAGAAAAAGAAAAGCCATATTCAACTTATTTCCCCGCTACAGACAAACACACTACACACTCAAGAACCTGCTGCTGCCTGGAGAAGACAACGAGAGCACAGGTAAAGCCCACATTTATCAATCTGGAGTTCAGTTTCCACGGACAAAAGGTTTGTATTGTTGGTGCCTGAACTCCACCACGTTTCTTCTTTCTCCTGCACACAATAGTTACAATACTGCATCCATGTAGTCATGCCTGAGCTAACACATCCAATCATTTCAGAGTCTCTCTTTCCTGACGGAGATGATCATGGTTCAAAGCAATTTACAATCAAAAAAACCACCAGTAACACAGTTCACGGAAGTCTCAGCCTTCCTGTTGACTTGGTAACACAAGAGGTGTCAGGAGGCGTCTCCTTGTGCAACGGGTTGTCCATCAAGATGGAGAAGAAGTGCATAGAAATACCAAAACTCGACGCACTGGCAAGAAAAAGGTAAGGCAGACGCAAAGGGAGAACACATCCTCGGGTCTTCCTCCTCTACCCCAGGCCAGGTCACAAAATGGTTTTTCACCAGCCAAAAACCGAGATTAAGACCCGGGAGCATGCGTTCTCCCTAACCATGCATCCTTCTGGAGGACAGGGAAGAGAGGTGATAGATTCCTTCCACCGCTTTGTAACGCTCAGAGATTTCTTTGTGATTCCAAAAGCAGGAACACCTCGACACTCAGTCACGCCAGCTTTTCTCCTGGTTCCTACCTGGATCCGGAGAGATCAGCTGTGTGACCTGCCAGCCCCCTGCCTCGCTGCCCCGGCCCCCTCGGACAGGTAACATGCCGAGGACAAGAATTGCAGCCCATTTTCTGCCCCCTTTTTGCCTATTGCACACATAAATACCCAGCTCCTCACGCTGTGGTATTTATGTGTGCTCACGTAACGTGAGAGAACCCAAGCGTAAGGCTCTGAGCAGGCTACAGTACTTCTGTCGTAACTCGCGGAAAACCAGGCACTTGCATCCTTCTTCTGTTTTAGAAAAATGGATATGAATCTCTCCTTCATTCAACAACTAAAGAAACAAGAAGATTTATACGTGGTTTACGAAACACTGGAAGCCTTAGAGGAGACCACCTATGAGGAATCCACCAAGGCAGAGGGGAGCATCGCGACCCTGCTTTACGCCAAGTTTCATGCCAAGGTTTGATTTCTCTTCAGCCTCAGGAGTCGGCCCTTCCCGAACACCCGCACGCCACCCAGGCCTGATGACAGATTTTTGTTTTTTTCACTGAGCAGGGCACTAGAGAGAATAAAGAAAGCATAACCATACCCAAGGGCTGCACCCTGGCCTTCAAGGCAATACCGCTGTTCATTACAGAAGGACGGTGGGGTAAGTACCTTGCAGAAACCACCAACCCCTCCGCTCTGGAAACAACACAGAAGAGCAAAAACATTTTCTGAAGCATCATTCAGCTTCACGGCCACCCTTGGCTCGTTTGCCAGGCCATGAACTCACGCAATATGAGTGACAGAAATCACCCGGGAAAAGGCTGTACACAGTATGGAGCTTCAAAGAGCTCCTTGGGAAAGGGATGCAGGTTGGGGGGGGTTGGGAAGGGAATGAAAGAGGGATGCTGGAAGTCTGGGCTCTAAATTTCAGGAACAGCAGAGCTCCTGGTTAGGGCAGAGGCTTGTTTTATTTTCTTTTATTTTCCCGCTCGGAAGCAAAGAGCCAGGGAGACAACAGGGTGGCTGACCCTTCAGCTGGAAGACTGGTGTAAAAGACACTTACACTGGGTGGGTAGAGAAGGAGAGGACTGAGATCCACAAAACCTGCTGCAGGATTTTAGAGGATGGATGGATCTAGAAGCTGCCATTTTAATTCACTCGTATTTTAACACACCTATTGGCCAATAGACCCTAATGTAAGGCACGTGACAGCAGGGAATGAGGTCAGGAATAACGAGTTTTAAATGAACGGGCAGAAGACAGATGCACTGGAGAAGAGTGCAAGCACCAGTCTGACCCACAACTAGCACGTGAGACTTCAGACCTGCGATACCAGTATCCTCAGCCTTAACAACAACCCTGATAAGAAAACACCTATCCAGCCTCAAGTATTTTTCTAAATCAGTAATGCCCGTTGTATCCTGTTCCAGGTCTTAACTATGTCCTACGAGCAGCTACAGAAGTCCTCTCATTTGGTGGTAAGCAATGTATTCTTCTGCTTCCACTTGCACTGCTGTTCCCCCTTGGGGTAAGATGGAATTTCTCAGGATAAACCAAACCACCAAAAGTGATGTGTTTAAAGGAGATTACTGACTGTTTACCTGAAACATGACAACTGTTCACCTCAAAATTGCACATTGCTTTTGAAAATGTTCATAGAAATGTTTCAAATCCTAAATGTAGAGGTGCTGGGAAAATACTGCGGGATTGTCTGGTGTACAAGTGACATATTTGGAATCTTTCTGGCTCTCAGGCTTCTCAAAAGGAAGACTAGGAGAAGTGGAGGAAGAAGTGAAAGAGAATTGTCAAGTTTTCTCCAATTTGTCTCCTGATCTGGCTGTCATATTTTTAAATGCCATCAAAGCTGTGATGAGAGACAGGAACCTCTTTCAAGAGCTGACTGACAAAGTAAGCAAAACTCTTCTTACTGCCAGGATTTATAAACAGGCACACATCCCTGATCACACCTCTTGCCCCGGAAGCCATCTCTCCTGTGCCACAACTACCAGCCAAAAAAACTCCTTCACTCGGCACATCTGTCTGGTCTTCAACACCACACAGGGAAAGAAGGTGCTCAGGACAGAGCCAACTGCTGAAATATGTCCTGAATATAGCCTAGCAGATTTACCTGAGGGTATCAAACCATTTAAATGTCATATTCTGTCTTTAACTGGATCCAGTGTGAGTGCTAAAGCCTCCATTACAGCCTCATAAATGGCTTAAGGAGGGGGGACATGTTACACGACTGTTCGTACGTAGTCAGACCACGGGGACTATCAGCAGCCTCTTCTCTCAAATCCTGACGTCTCTTTTTCTTATCCCCCTAGATGGAAGAAGTTCTTGATGAAACTGGTAGTTGTGAGCTGAAAACAGACAGCCCAGACTTAAAAGACCTGTTGAAGAGCTTACAAGATTCTTCAAGAGATCATTGCCTCAAGCTGGCAAAAGCAATTACCTACGCTCTCGACGCGTTGGAAGGTAACGAGGCTTTCTGGCCATTTTACAGCAGCACCAGAACACATCAAAAGCATTCCCACTGACAAGACTAACAAAATGTAGAGAATTTATAGAGGAAGAGACGCTTGCAGAGGATTCATGTAAAACCATTGCTCCCATTGTGGGAACGAAGGTGGTTTACGCTGAGAGCACAGACCCATCCGCAGCAGCTGCTGTTCAGCAACTGGCAGGAGAATCACATTTAATCACCACTCAGGGCAGGAACAGAGGGCATCCTTGAAAAGAGAGCTTGAAATCAGAGTTACAATGTGGGTAAAGATGGCAAGACCACCTGACAGAAAGAGCAGTGCAAATTCCAGGGTTCTTCTCCCAAGGCTGCCACAAAATACAGCCTGAAACTCCCCTTAGCCCCCTTGGTCTCTGCACCCAGAGCTGGTCTCCTCTCGCAGGGAGGCTGCACCAATAATTTAGTTTAAAACATCTGAAGAACTTCTGACCCAGCAGGCATTCCCTGCACAACAGTTGATGGTCACCCTTCATATCTCACCAGCTGTCTCTGAAACACTGGTGGGGTTCTGTTTTGTTACAAACCAGTTTCAATTCTGCAGAGCTAACGGAGGACCAGCTGCTGCTACTGCTAGAATCCTTGGAAGAGAAGATTGTGTCCCAACAGCTTAAGCTGGTGAGAGAACATCCATCACGTTTGGCTCAAAATGAAGAGGGCAGGGGGAGTGTTATTTTAAGTAAAGCAACATTTGGATGATGACATAGGTAGCAGTATCATAACTTAAGGTAGCACTGGGAAGAAGGGAAGAAATAATTGCTTCAAACTTGGCAAGGAGCAAAATACACGTTTCAAGAGAAACCGCCCCAAGACACAATGAGCTGAGATTTCTAACAACTGTTTTGCAGATAATAAACATTCAATTGGACACAACTGACTACCGTTTCAAGAAAAACTCTTCTTGAAACAGTAGTCAGAATTTTCTGGCTTCTCCAGCTTTAAAAAAAAACAAACAACACAAAACCACACTACAATTCTAATTTATTGAACACAAACAATTCACAAGGAACTAGGAATGGAATACTGATAATCTCCCAGGGTGAGAAGTCCCATGTGTGGGATATTTAACACACCTGTAAGATGGCAGAGCACTTCAGAAGTCAAAGAGATCATTTACTGACTTAACGACTCCAACAGGGGGGAGAATTAAAATACTGATTACGCTTGTTTTGTTGTTGCTGCAAAGGTTAAGAGCATCCTGGAGCACGACATAGAACGCGGGAAGGGGCCTTTCCACGTGGATGCCAGCTTGCTCTCCTTCTCAGGAGAAAAGGAGCAAAAATTAACCACTGCAATGGTCGAGCTGAGCGGAGTGAAGCTGCAGGAAGATGGATTTGCTGTGTGCAGGAAAGAAGCCTTCTCGGCTGTGGCAGCCCTGTATGTGTCTCTGTACCTCCTCAATCTTCTGAGTAAGTCAGATTAGGTGCCACGCATCCCCCCAGCCAGGGATGATTCAGAGGGAACCACTTGACAATGTATTTGAAAGTCTCCTACTGCACACCAGTTTCCCTCTCCAAATTTCATCCCTACGTAGGTGAAGTACTCCTCCTTAATGCTCAGCGCTGCTTTGAAATAAGTGGGAAAAGCAAACTTAAGGCAAGAAAACTCCTTGTAGAAGGTGGATAGCAAAATTGCTTTTTCTTCCCCCCCATATGCATGCAGAGCACCAGCTGAAAAACCCACTAACTCGAGCGCTCGCAGGCCTGTCAGCTGTGCT